AGGACCTATACGCAGCAAAGAAATTCGAATAGTAGGTTTATAAAATCGCATAAGGATTCCTGCACATCATATTATGAGCAGTTTGTCGTCATTTTTAGCAGTTTCGAGATGCCTGGCGGAGTTTATATGACGATGCTGAGAGACTGAAAGTAGCTTACAAGCAGTTTATGTGATGGGATGTGTTAGAAGGTCGTATTTATGTAGTTAAGGCTGTAGGAGCTACAAGAGTGAGATTAAAAGTTAAAAATTTAAAATAGTTCCAGGGATTCTTGTAACACGAAATATGTGCATAATTATGCGACAGAAACAAATTCGCCAGACTATACATAGAACTTTGAATATTTGATTACGGAAACAATGGGCGTGTATAGTGGCGGGTCCAGGGGGGGATCTAGGGGCTTAAGCCCTTCCGCGAAACCCAATGATCGGGATTCTATTATAATCGATTTATTCTATATGCATGAAACTAAAACAATCACAGCTGATGCAATGTGATGTAAAAAACAAAATCACTACGTTTGCGCAACATTTCTGCTTTTGTTAACTTTGTGTTTCCGGGTTTATTATAATTTAAGTTATTCTTGCTGGGTGATTGCAAATGTGCAAGACGTAATCGTGAATCGCCAGCATCACCACTTTGGTACATAATGGATATTCGGAAATTTTTCCCCACTCGTCGGACGGTGAATGAAGCACGCCTACAATAGCTTCGACGTCAACAGACGTTACTGAGGAGGTGACAAAGGTAATTTTTCTCAAAGCTTGTAAAGAGTTGTTAAAATATCAAGGATTTCGAGTATTTTTTAGATATTTAGAAACCTTTGGATTATTAAGTAAGCTAGGATTTCAAGAATATTGTAAGGTTTATAGATTATATGGCCGATGTATGAATTTTTTGAACTGTTGCAAGATTAAAAAGACAAATTCTATTTAAAGTTGAGAAATTCCATGACAATCATATGAAAACTTTAATACAAGTAATATTTTCAAATGATAATTTAAAAAAAAAAGAAAAATCCAGCTGCGGATCATGACTGAGTAAGATATTTATGAATACTCGAAGATGGCTAAGCGGATCAAGTGGGGAGTCCTGCAACGTTAGAACGTAGTTCAAACCGACTCAAGGGAATTTTTTTTAAATTTTTAAATGTGAAAAAATTGCAAGTTTACCACGAAAGGATATTATAATTTCATTCTAGTTATACTGTTTTACTGAATGTATCAAACTTTTCAAATACGTTAAAAAAAATCCATCTAATAAAACTGTTTCACAAAATAAAAAAAAATAAACAGAAATGTGTTTTCATTCTTCAGGTTTCGAACTACGAACTTCTACATATTACTGGGCTTTCCACTCGATTCGCTGAACCATATACCGGTGAATACAAGTACTACTGATACGTTCGGCTCTGATGTTTAGCTAAATTTTTAATAATTTTTCACTATTAAAAAGAGCCTTACTGGACATAAGGCCGATACACGTTTCGAATATTTCCAAAAAATCTTCTTTCTTACTATTAAATCTTTTGACTGAGAATCGTAGGAGCATCTTCCGGGGTCCTTTCGTGAATAACAAATAATCTGAAATTCTTAACTATTTGGTTAGCTCGTATATGCTTATCATTAATTTATTCCAGAAAAGAAGAGAGAAGTTTGAATGTCAGCAAGTGAATTTAGAGGGGCAGAGTCGATAAACTCCATGCTTTGAAACAAGAAGAAGTTTACGATTATTAAATGAAAACAGAAACTCCAGATTCCACATTTCAGTTTCCTGCTGCGATGGAAGAGAATCAGTCAGAAAATTTCAACTCAACTGGCTACAAATGGTTGGCTTACAGTAAAAAGAAATGTCGGGCCTTTGCAAATATTGTGTTTTATTTGCACCAGAACTCGGTGGTGTTGGATCTAGCCAGGTAGAGTATCATTTTATCTCAGAAAATTTCACTTATATCAGATATATAAAATTTTTAGTAACTCCAAAGTATTACAGATCTGTGGAAGATTTCGGAGTTTCAAAAATAATTTCGATTAGAAAATTATAAAATTCCAAAACTTTTGAAGTTTTGATACTACTGAACGTTTAGATGTTTAATAAATGTTTGATTCCACAAATTTAAAGCACATTGAAATTTCTCCAAAATTCAACGAATCAATTTCTTTTTGTTCACAGCCCTTGAAAATGTTTGTCAATGTTCCGTTGAACAATACAGAAAAAGCCCTTGAAGACATAAATCATACACAATACCGTCGTTTTTCTGAAGAAAAGCTCTTCACTACATCAGAAACATCGAAACACAAAATGCCAGTTCCATATATGTTATCCTCGATAAAGAAGGAACAAGAAATAGTGGAAAACAATCGGAAGCGTCTAGGCCCAATAGTGAAAACAATCCTTTTTTGTTCACGTAATAATTTACCATTACGGGGACACAGAGGCACTGGTGACATGAAGACTGCATAAAACAAGATACCGCCCTATCAGGCCAAGAAGGAGATTTTCGAGTACTTTTGGCATTTGTGTAGAGCAGGTGATAATGACTTGAGACAACATTTGAATACGGCACTCAAAAACTGCAAAAATGATTAGTAATATGATCCAAACGAAGATATCGATATTATAGGTCAAACGATCTGTTATAAGTGATCCATCGAATCAAGAAATCAAAATTTTTGGGTTTATTAGTTTGAAGTCCATTATCTGATAGAAGTAATCATAGAACAATTGGCGGCCTTTGATTTGGATATCGCCTACATACGTGGACAAGGGTACGACGGAGGATCAACTTTTCTGGTAAAGAACATGGAGTCCAAGCATTGATATCTGAAAAACAACCTTTAGCATTCTACACTCATTGCTTTAGCCACTCATTGAATTTACGTGGCATCAAAATTTTTTCTATAATTTGCAACTAAACAGTTGACGCAAGTAAAATGGTGCAGCTGACTTTATGTATTCGATATGTCGATGTGTACGAATATGTCATCCGTGAAGATTTTCTTGGGTTCATTAGTTTGAAGTCCATTATGTGATAGAAGTAATCATAGAACAATTGGCGGCCTTTGATTTGGACATCGCCTACTTACGTGGATAAGGGTACGACGGAGGATGAAACTTTCTGGTAAAGAACATGGAGTCCAAGCATTGATATCTGAAAAACGACCTTTGGCATTCTACACTCATTGCTTTATCCACTCATTGAATTCACGTGGCATGCGAAGTTCAGGATATTCGAAATATGATTGGGCACAGACTCTTCGGTGATTTTTTTTCACGCAGTCTGCAAAAGGAACTCAACTTTTGCAAGATTATTTCCAAAATGCAGCTCTGGATACAAACAAAAATCGTTTGAAAACTCTTTGCACTACTCGTTTTGGGTCGAAAAACATGAGTGTGTGTACACATTTCTGAATTGCTGCGTTACATTGTTGGAGCATTACAAGCAAGAATGATAGAGACTGTGAGACATCATCTAAGGCGACAAAACTAATGGGTGCTATTGAGAAAACCGAATTTCTCATCTGTCTGCAAGTCTGCACAACAGTCAATGCGCCAGTCGTGACACTGAGCAGGGTTCTCCAGACACCAGAACATCAAATTTCATCTGAGCCTGAGCTCACGTTGCCAAAGTTATCGACTCGTACTCGAAACAAGAAAAATGAAGCATCTTTTGATGAAATTTTCAGAGAACCCAAGAAAATCGCCGACGAAATTGGTTCGAGTTGAAGCTTCTTCGTTTATCTGGTCGCCACAAAACCGCACCAATCTACAAACCGAGGGTATGACGCTTCTGGGATATTTCCGGGGAGTTTTCCGAATTGTGAACTTCGATTTATAATAGCAAAAATCATGACTAAAGACGTGTATTCGATGTTTTTTCAGGTCCACCATTTATTATCCATTTCTAGATTTCATGATTTCTTTTTTGGGCTCAAGGTTTAAGGGAAGTTTTTGGATATTCTGGCTTTAGAAGTTTTGATTCCAGCCTATCAACAAAGACTAGCGGACTTAAGTAATGGCAAAATAGACATTACCGCCTGGGCCCCCCAAGGAAGGGTGGTCAGAGGGCCCCTTCAGCAAAAATCAGCTCTAGTGTCTATATTGTTCAGCGCGTCTGAATGTAAAATTAATAACAAGAAATCAGAGTGTTGTTATATTCTTTTAATGTCGATCTGCGTAATGTTTATAAAACAGCGCGTTAGCATTCAGTTTGAATAATAAAATGAACATTTGATTTCTAAAAAAATGACCCTTTATTTCTCAAGGAGTGGAGGGATTATTTTTTCATTTCGTGCTTACAGTGATATATTATTACCTGGCATATAATGTTCAGTAAATAAATATCTTCGTGTATGAATCAGCCTCTTCCAGTCTAATAAAGACTCTAATGCGTCTATTACAGTCTTTTCACGTCTTCAATGCTTATAACCATGAACTTTCACAATACTGTGCATTTTTTTTATTTGATTGACATATCTATTTCCTTCATGATCATATCGTGGAATAAATTTTTTCATATAAGATAGATATTTGTTAATGGTGTAAAAATATTCAGTTTTTTCTGAACGAAAAGCAAGCCGCGGATTCAAATTAGAATAATTCTGTTACTTTGTATTGAATAAAAATGTTTGATCTCACAGTCTCTACTTTATTTAGGTTGTATAGACCTATAGTAAAAAACAAAGGTAACAGTCGCAGAAGCTACTATGTGCATATAATATGTCCTGTTAATATGTGCATCCTTATTGCCAGCAAAATAGTGTACACTATTTTCCGTCTGTCCCCGATCATACCACTGCCGGGTGGTATCAAGAATTGTAGAGACGGCGAATTAAAGAAAGTCCAAACTGCACTGGAGACACTACGGAAATTGAATCGAGTCAATCATTTTTTCCCGATGTAGAAACATTGCTGCAAATATTTCCCACGATCCCTGTCACCTCAGCAACTGCTGACGGACTTTTTTCTCCGCTAAAGATTGAAAAGCTACCTGCTTGTAAACATGTCTGAGCCTAGACTTAATGATGGGCTAGCTTTGGGCAACATTCACAGAGAAATTGACGTTTCTGTTAGAGAAGTCGTTGAACATATTGTCAAGTCTTGTTTTACCTTTGTCCAAAGTAGGTAATCCTAGCTCGAATACTGACTGAGGCCTATTAGCATTTTGCATATACTTTCCGAGTTACTGGAAAGGCAATATATACACAAATTTATTTATTTATTTATTTACTAGTATACAGTAGAACCTCGATTATCTGGCACTCGATTATTCGTCACTTCCGTTATTCGTCACCCATCCCGTTGTTCAAAATGAATTCGGAGAATTTAATTCGCAGCCCGACGACAAATATTTCTTAGAACTAAACTGACTTATTTTTACTTACCCGCATTTGCTCATACACTAACACAAGGAGTAGGATTACCGCGCTCGGTAATCCTACGCTACGTCATAAGTATGTATATAAGTCATAAGTACCTGTATATATGTACGTCATATAAGTCGAATTTCCCACCATTCTCGGATTTTCTATTTTTCTCCTTTTTGCTTTACCTGTGCAGCACCTCCAGCTCTCCGAAAGTGAGATTCACTGAGCAGAGAGCCAGTTAGTCCTCCGAATCCGATGCAGCAGCACAGCTCGATTTACAATGTTCGATAATAAAAGAAAGCGCGTAGTTTTAGATTTGGCTCAAAAATATGAAATAGTGTGTCGATTAAGAAAAGGAGAAAGCACTACAGCACTATCAAACAGTTATAATGTTTCCCCGAACTACAATTAATGATTTTAAAAAACATGGAGATATCATTGAAAACCATATCAGCAAAATGGAATCAACAGATGGGGATGCCACTCATCGAAAACGATGAAACTAGCTACCCACAATGAATTAGATGAGGTTGTTTTTTACTGGTTTGCCCAGCAGCGAAGTCAAGGAATTCCTTTATCAGGCCCAATTATTCAAAAAAACCATTAGAGTTCAATAAAAAATTGCCAAACTCCGATCCATCTTTTAAAGGAAGCACAGGATGGTTGGACAAATTTAAAACTCGACACCGAATAAGCCAGTTATCTATTGAAGGTGAAAAATTAAGTGCTAATAGTATCAGTGTGGTAGAATATGTTAACAAGCTTCGGTAGGGAATTCAAAAGCGTGGTTTACAAAGAAATCAAGTTTACAACTGTGATGAAACTGGCTTGAATTGGAAGGCGCTTCCTCAAACGACATTAGCTTCATCATCTGAGACGTCAGCACCTGGCTATAAAGTTATGGTTTGTGCAAATGCTAGCGGTGATCGTAGGATTCCGCTGTTGGTCATTGAAAAAGCAAAAAAAACCTCGTGCTTTCAAAAACATGGATTTGGGATTATTGCCTGTGAAATATAGTGCCCAAAAAAGTGCATGGATGAGTCAAGAGATATTTATTGATTGGTTTAAACATGTTTTCTCCCTGAAGTTAAAAAATACTTACGTGAAAATAATCTTCCCGAAGAAGCTATGCTTGAATGGATAATGCGCCAACTCATCCTATTGAAGAGTTGAAGTCCGAAGATAGTAAAATACTTGTCACTTTTTGCCTGCAAATACGACATCCTTGATTTAGCCTATGGATCAAGGGGTTATTGAAAGTTTTAAGAGAAGATATCGAAAGGCTTTTATTCAAGGACTTATCTCTGAAACAGATGCGGACTTAAAACAGTATTGGAAAACGTTTACCATAAAAGATGCCATATATATTGCCCACTGGAGCTTGGAACAGTATACCTGCAGAAACCTTGAATAAAAGTTGGTATAAATTGTTGCCTACCGAAAACACAGCTATGGATCAGAAAGAAAATCGAACACCTAATATTTCATCCATAAAGCAAACATCTTCATATCTTCCTGGATTTGAAGACATCTCAGAAAATGGACATTTCTAATTGGTAGATATGGACAAACAGGATGTAGGATATGATATTTTACCAGACGACGAATTAATTGACCACGTTTTAGAAGCCAATGATCATGAAGATTGTGATGACTTACCTGATAATCCGGAAGGTAGCATTAGCCATGTGGAAGCTGAGGATATGGTAACAAAAATTATACAATGGTACGAAAATCAAGAGGAAGCAGAACTCGTTCAACTAGTACATATACACTATCCGAACGGTTTTATACACCATTTAACGGATAGAAAACACAGGAATCAATTTTAAGACAAAAATTGTTCAAAAATAACATAAAATTGCCAAATGACTTAACCTACTGTTATGTAAAATCTTTTAAGCTACGCAAATTACAAAAGAACAAATCTACTGCGTTTCTTGCACGTTCATAGTTGTTACATACTACATATATCGGAGAGGAAAGCACGCATTGGTTCTAGCTACGTTTAAGTAAAAGTATTTTGAATTGGATCGCGTCTTAGCATTAGGTACATGAATAAGAATCTTACCGATTAAATATTCACAATCTATGGCATTGTTAAGCATTTTATATAAAAATACACAAGCAGCGTAGTTTCTGCGCTTCTCCAAGTTACAGAGGTTATATCTGGTAAGTAATACATCATGCCTGAAGCCAACGTCTGGATACGTACCATCTTCCTTATGCCACAAATATTTCACAAACCGCTTCTGAATACCTTCAATTTTATTCGAGTGAACTTCATGAACAGGATACCATATTATAGAGCAGTATTCAATTTTGGATCGAACAAAGGAATTATATAACGAGATCATGGTATGCACATTATTGAAATACCTACAATTTCTGATAATTAAGCCCAAACTTTTATAGGCCTTGCTAACAACAGAATCAATATGCGAAGCAAATGTAAGTTTGGCATCAAAGGATATACCTAAGTCATGAAACTATTCACACATGTTAAGTTGCGAATTATCAGTGTTATATATGAATCTGATTGGAACAAGTTTGCGCGTAATAGACATAGTGTAGCATTTATCAGCATTAAGGTACAGCTGTTACGGTGACACCACTTATTTAGGTTGCTCAAGTCGTTTTGCAATATATTACAGTCGTCCATGGTTTCAATTTTACAAAAAATCTTCAAGTCATCTGCATATAGAAGGCAGCTACTGTATAGCTCCCCAACGACGTCATCAATGAAAAGAAGGTATAATATGAGTGGAGGTGAAGCCCCTGTATTCGACTTTCAAGCATCCGTTTGTAAGATAAGATTTGAAAAACTTCCAGAACTGATAGGTCAACCCTCGCGTAGCTAATTTCTTTAACAAAATACCGTGATCTAGCTTATCAAAAGCCTTCGAAAAGTCAACGTAAGCAACATCTACTTGCACCCCTTCATCAACAACTTCAGAGTAAAACTGTTTAACACACGCTAGATTAGTTAAAGTAGATCTGCCATGGAGAAATTTCGCGCTTAACATGGGAGAGAAAATTATATCATGCAGTATACATTCGAAAACCTTACCGACGTTGCTTATAATCACAACAGCTCTATAACTCTGAATGACACAACGTTCGAATTTTTTAAATATGGGAGCAATCCTAGATGTTTTCCAAGCCATGGGAAATGTGTTGTAGTATTAAGAGATATTTTATACAGATAAGCTAAAGGTTCAGCTAAAACAAAAGCACAGTCCCTTCAGCAAACATGCAGGGATTAGATCTGGAGTGGAAGATACCTTGGGTTTAATCTTTTTCAAGCGGGCAACAACCTGTTTTCAGTAATCATTGGTATATTCAACGGTAATGAGGCGCAGTCAGGTGAGTCTGCAGGTACAAAGTTTGTGGAAGGCGAGTATGTGGAACTTGAAAAAATCTGCAAAAGCGTTAACAATATCTTGCGGTTCGTAAGTTGAGTTTTATCAAAGATCATGGTATCAGGGATATGAGAAGTATTTCTCAAAGAATCAATAAAAACACCAAAATCTTTGAGGGTTAGTAGCTATGCCCTGTTTCAATTTTAAGCGGTATACCTTTGAATTGAATATCAATGCTAATTTTTATGTTTCTTCGAAGATTTCGAAAAGCGTCGCAGTCAACAGGATTACAAGTTCTTTTACACCGTTTCCATAACCTTCGCTTTTCCTTGATTTTAGTAATACTGGTATTGTTGAAGCAAGCAGGGTAAGAAGTGTTTCTTTGGCAGTGTTCGGGTAAATTCCGATTGATTTGCGAGAATAGTATTTCATAGAACTGATCACACGCTTCGGTGATGCTACCAATGTGCATGTTAGCTCTTCTATAATTGTACTCAGGACTTGCATTAACGTCAAATTTGTCGAATTTATCTTCCATAGAAAAAAATATATCAAGCGGGGGATGATAGCTATCAACTGGAAGCAAAATATCTGACGCCGAATTCACCTTCAATGCATTTTTACTGAATACTAAATCTAGAATCCGGTTGTTTGAGTTTTGGACAAAGTTGTGTTGAGACATATTCAGAAAATTGATCAGATTATTGAGTGCCCATATATAGGTGTTGCTGTAATTGTTATCCTTGATTGATTGATTGATTCTTTTAAGCTAGTTGATTTAGATGAGATTAAAACTGTTATCTGCAGTATAAAATCCAATGCTTCTGGAACGGATGGTATCACGTTACAAATGTTAAAGTTATGCTTTCCAGTAATTGGCATTCATCTGCTACATATTATTAATATTTGCTTGGAAACTGGATACTTTCCCGACCTTTGGAAGACAGCTCTGGTGACTCCTCTGCCAAAATTGTCTAATCCGATATCCATCGCTGACCTCAGACCAATAAGCATATTGCCAATAATGTCTAAAATTTTAGAACGAGTAACTTATACACAGATTCTCGATCATCTCAATGCACATAATATAATCCCCACCCATCAATCAGGCTTTCAGAAAAACCGCAGTACAACTACAGCCTTGTCTTATCTCATTGATAGCATCATATCTTCCATCGACAGTAAAAACATGAGCTTGCTGGTACTGTTAGACTTTTCCAAGGCCTTCGATACGCTTAACCATCGACTGCTTGTTGCCAAGTGCCACTACTATGGCTTCGATGAAGTTGCCTGCAACTTTATTAGGTCATATTTAAGGGAACGTAGGCAAAAAGTAAATATCAATAATCAAATTTCGACACCAAGGTACATTCAGTCAGGTGTTCCACAAGGCTCAGTACTGGGACCATTGATGTTTTTACTTTACACTGCAGACTTACATGATAACTTCAAGAATACACATGCTCAATTTTTTGCTGATGATACGCAGATGAAGTGTGATTTTAATGCCGACAATGTCCAGGAGTCCATGATGCTAGTAAATGCGGATCTGGATAGTGTTAAAGGTACTGCAGCTCTCACAACTTGAGACTAAATCCCTCAAAATGTTCTGCTATATTATTTGGCAATAAAAGATTATGTGAAAACCTTAAACCATTAATTCACATCAAAGTTAATGGGGAGGAAATTATTTTTTCTGAAATAGTAAAAAATTTGGGCATTCACTTTGACTCGGACTTACGTTTTAACTCCCATCTGAATAATGTCTTGAAAAAATGTTATCTATCCCTCAGGCTTCTATTTGCAAACAAACATATTCTGCATAGAAACATCAAAATTAAATTGTGTCAAAGTTTAGTTATTCTAAAATGTTATATGGCTTATCCATATATTACCCATGTTTGACGTCTATTAACGCAAAACGTTTGCAGATAATGCAGAATACCTGTGTTACGGTTTATCGAGGGCCTAAGAAGTTCGATCATGTATCACACTTGTATCGTAATCTTGCATGGCTAAGCGTTCAAAAACCTTTTCAAATACTCCATGATAAGCTTTACTCACAGGATCATACTAACAGCATCCCCTCAATACCTCAGCTGTAAACTTGTTCCAAGGGCGTCTGTGCATAATCTTCAGGTTCGTAACCGTGACACCTTAACTATGCCAATACAACCGCACATCACTTTTTAGACGAACTTTCACATACAATGCAATTTTATATTACAATAGCTTAAGCAGGATCTGAAGACTATCCAGTCCTCCCGGAGTTTTTAAAACTCAGTTAAAAAGATATTTACAAGAATTGCAAAACAAACCGCTAGCTTAAGAAGTTCTTTCATTTTCATACTTT